GGCGCCCAGTGTGCCGACCTGGTCCTGCTGCAGGAGCTGGACCGCGAGAGCCAGGCAGCCTACAGCCTGGAGCTGGTGGCCCAGGACGGGGGCCGCCCGCCACGCTCCGCTACGGCCGCCCTCAGTGTGCGTGTGCTGGATGCCAACGACCACAGCCCGGCCTTTCCTCAGGGCGCCGTGGCCGAGGTCGAGCTGGCAGAGGACGCGCCCGTGGGCTCGCTGCTGTTCGACCTGGACGCGGCTGACCCCGACGAGGGCCCCAATGGCGAAGTCGTGTTCTCCTTCGGCGCGCGGGCCATGAGTTTGACATGCTTGCCTTATATGGCTTTTTATGGTGGAATATAAACTCCACGAAGGCAGTGTTTATCACAGTGGAATTTGCTTGGCTAAATCTGAGCTTATCTTGTTTAAAGCTGCATCACTAAAATATTGGCCACAGTTTAGCACATAGTAGATATTTCACAAATTTTGCTTTTTTTGAGACATCAATAAATAATCAGATCCACATTTGGATAATAAAATGAGGATTTGAATAGAAAAATCAGAGGAAAGATATTGGAAGAAGTCACAAAACATATAAAATTATTATAATTGTGCATTTACCTACATACTGGCCTATATATTTGTACCATTCAAACTATCTTATAGTGTTCCGCCGACGCACTGGCGGAGGATAAAAGGCTTTGGACCTGCTGCGAGCCGCCCCACACCCCACCTCCCCGCTCTTCACTTTTACCTGCCTTCCACGCCCCTCCAACCCTTCGCTCCCTCAAAACACGCCTGGTTTATTTCAGCCTTGAGAATGTGGATGATGGTATGAAAGTGTTTGGAGTAAAAATATTAGGTAGTTCCGCTTCTTCAGCCAAATGAATGAATGAATGAATGAATGAATGAACAGCGCGGGGCTCCCTTGGTCCAGTCCAGAACTGAGGCGCGGGGGCACAGGAGGCGCAGGTAGGGTCCGGCTCGCAGCGACCCGTGGCCGGGCTCTTGACAAGGGTCTAGCCATGGAAACAGCAAAAGACATCAGTTCTCTGCGACTCTGGCCCCACTGCGCTCTCTCTCCTTCCCCTATTCGCCGCGTTCTGTGCTCAGCAGCAGCCGCGTGGCGCGGGCCTGACTCCCGGGGTTACGCGAATCCTAGTTCTGAATCTGTTCAGGTCTCGGGCAAACCGGGAAGAGGCGTGAGGAGAGAGGGCGGGACCCTGCGGGCGCCAAAGCTCACCAGCAGGCCAGGTGGGAAAGTTGCGGGGTTCAGAAAGAAGACAAAGTTGTAGAACCCCAGAGAAATAAATGTCTCTTCGGGGGAGAGAGAGAGAGAGATGGCAATGATATCGAGAGAGAGAAAGAGAGAGAGAGAGAGAGAGAGAGAGATTAAATGGCAATTGGTAGGGGGAAATAGTGGAGGAGATGGCTGACAATTGGGCTCCTGGAGGGGGCGTCTCCTTTCCACGTCCCTGCGCGGCTGGCATTGCCTGGCCTCGTTGCTTTTAGAATTTCCAAAGCTGCAAAGTGGAAAAGGCGGGAAAGGAAACCGAGAGGCATGACAGCTCAAAGGAAATCCCCAACTATCCACAGCCCACCCCCAATCTCATAAAAGCTTTTTAAAAAAATTGATGGTTAGGGCTGCATTTTTTGCTCCAGACAACTCCAAGCACCTCCTTTATCTTCCACAACCCCCACTGTCCACCCAGCTCCCTGCTTGGTCTCCTACTCTGAGGAGCCGCCTGTATCTTTTCTGTGAAAAACAAAACAAAGCAAATAACAGGACACACTCCCTCAGGTTTGAAAGATAGAATTCTAAGAACAGGACTACAATCAGGATTCAAAAGAATATTTAATGAAGGAAATTTGCTTATCAAATCCAACGCCCTTTTTTTAAAAAAAAAAAAATTCTTCCAGTGTGTGACTTTTGCTGTTTCCTTTCCTCTTCCTAGCATATTTTCATAGCCTGCTCAGTAAAGCTCTTCAACAAGAATGAGTAAGAATTCCTCTTGCTCCTGCTTGGAGACCCATCTTAATGATCTTTGGGGAAACTGGGGGTGGGGAGGATACCTGTGGGGGGCAGCCATGCCTGACCAGCCCAGAGTTTGGCAATGCCTAGGCTCAACAGTTTCCTAGGCAGATGGTGAAGTTCCCCAGGTTCGTGCCAGGTTTCAGCATCACGCTGTGATTTTGTTCTTCTGGAAGGGGATGTTTCTTCCCAGAGCGACCCTCTTAGGACCGAAAGAAAATCCTCTAAATAGGCGGAACAAGGCCTCAGGGGGGAAAGTTCTCTAAATGCACTTTAATAGGAGCCTGGTATTGTGTGGAATCCAGCGCCCTTCACCCTTTAGCCAGAGAGTTATGGCAGTGATTGGGGATGAATAGAGGAACATAATGGATACATGTGGCGTTTGCTCATTATATTCACGTTAGCCCAACTCCACTGTGGAAACTGTTCAACTTTCTCTCCCCTTAGCTTGTCACCGTGAAATAATACAGACATTGGGGCCTCCAAAGGGATCGCCTGCCACGCCATTCTCTTTCCAGTGCTAACGAGGGCTTCATACGCCTTTGATACAGACTGATCTTTGAAACCTTTCCAAATCTCCTCAAGCTTATGCTAAATCCTATTTGGAACTTCTTTCCTTGCCTACTAGCGCCCAGGATTTAAGAAAGCCATTTGGACAGTGACATGCATACTAACACATCGCGGGGTTCTTTTCTGAAAGACAAGAAGCAACTCTGATCACCGGGGCTCACACGAGCAAGACACAATTGCGTATACAAATTTGAATAAAATCAATTTTCCCTTCTCCTTTGGGCTCCTAATCGAGAAGCTATTCAGGGCGCCGTGGGAAGCAGGGAGAGGAGGCGAGCCAAGCCTTGTCGGGCAGAGCTAGTCTGTGAAGAGAGGGCTGCTAGCGCTTGGAGGCTCTGAGGTGCAAAAGCAGGGAGTGGGTGGGGAGTCCTGCGCTACCAGGAAGAAATCCCAGCGTGTTTGTTCTTAGATCAAGCAGCCGGCGCCGGCACCGGCAGGGCACAAAGAACAAAACCTGTGCTAACTCCCCTACACGCAGAAAAGGAAAAGCAAAAGGAGTTAAAGAAACAAAGGAAAGATTTCCTAATTTTCCTTTCTTGTTTTCCCCTCCAAGCCTTTCCACATTAAAGGGATTGTCAGAGGCTGACGTAGGAGCAGCGCGAGGACGCTGTCGCCATTGGCTGCCGGGCTCCGGCGCTTTGCATATCGGCGGCTATAAAAGCGGAGGCGGCGCGCGGCGGCGCAGGGCAGCGGCAGCTAGGAAGGGGGAGGGAGGTGTGCAGAGTGAGGGCGGGTCCGCCGCACGTCCTCAGAGCCCGCCGGAGCCGCGAAGCTGCAGCCGCCAGACTCCTCCCGCACGGAGCTGGCAAAAGCGTGCTCCGAGGAGCCCGGGACTTAGGTCCGGACCTGCAAACCAGAGACGAATCTTTTCTTCAGCATTTTGGAATAGAACTTGGGGCTGGCGGCATGAGTCCAGTAAGGCGCGGGGGTAGACCCTGCCTTTTACCTTTGCAGCTCTTTAGCCTCTGCTGGGTGCTCTCAGTGGCCCAGAGCAAGACAGTGCGATACAGCACCTTCGAGGAGGACGCTCCTGGCACGGTCATCGGGACCTTGGCTGAGGACCTACATATGAAAGTGTCCGGAGACACAAGCTTCCGCCTGATGAAGCAGTTCAACAGCTCGCTGCTACGTGTGCGTGAGGGTGATGGGCAGCTGACCGTCGGGGACGCGGGCCTGGACCGCGAGCGGCTGTGCGGCCAGGCTCCACAGTGCGTGCTGGCCTTCGACGTGGTCAGCTTCTCGCAGGAGCAGTTCCGGCTGGTGCACGTGGAGGTGGAGGTGAGGGATGTCAACGACCACGCGCCGCACTTCCCACGGGCCCAGATCCCCGTGGAGGTGTCCGAGGGCGCGGCCGTGGGCACGCG